TTTCGATGAGGAATCACCTCCTTAAATCTTTTACACTTATTTAGTTACACCCTGTTTTTAATAAACCAAAAACTCCAATAATAATAAAAACTATAACTTTGGAGAAACAATTATTCTATTTTTTTAATGTTGAAGTACTACATAACTTCAACTTTAGTACAGATGAGACGTTACTAGTCGAGATGAAATGTAAAAATTTGAAGAAAAGTTAGTTGCTATAAATGAAATTTTATTTCGAAAAATTCTGATTTCAATGTTAATTGTTCATGGTGTCTATAATTCGCCTGAAGATGTTTTTCTGAAAAAATATTTGATATTGTTAATGAGATAGTTTCATCCTGAAGAACATTTCACGTATATTGGAAAATGAATGATTATTATAACAACAATTCTGAATGACCCGTTCGTGGTTAGTTTTTTTATACAGATTTTAACAAATTCAAAAGTCCCTTGATTATTATCTGAAAGTTATATATTCCATCGTCAAATCCGCGTCGTGAATTAATCTGAATTATCTAAAACGACTGAAGACCAACAACTCAAAATGAAATTATGGAAAATGGCACAAAATTATTGGAAAAATTCATTATGTGTTGCTGAGCTTTGATTCACCTTAGCTAGAACTAGAAACTTCATCTGTATAAACATTCAGCGATTGGAAATTTAATTTTGATATGGAAGTATCCGCAGGAGTCCTTATTCACATTATTTATTAGTAAGGGAATGGGAAAAATATTGTCGCCTTCGCCAAAACAGCCAACCCAGAACTTCCGCCATAATTTTAAACTTATCAAATTTCTCATGAAGTTCTATCGAAAATTTACCTTGCATATACCTGATATGCAGACGTCGCGAGAGACGACACTGCATGGAGTTCCATCTTTGGCATAATCTCCCCAAGGAACGATGACAGACTCACTGAAATCACTGCAGTAAAGTTGACAAGGCTCACCTGAAAAAACATCCATAATCACATAATTATTGTCAGGAAATACACTTTAAAAGTTGAGAAGATATATTGGAAATTCATTGAAACAAACACAATTAAATAGGCTCTCCGCTCATGTATGAGCTGATCCTCAATCTCGATTGGACGTTTCTAATGCGTTTCGCAATGCAGATGATGCCTGTCTTCACTTTTATGAAAAATTATACAGTGTATTAGATCGCTGCGTGTCGAAATTCTTGATAAAATCTAAAAATAATTATCCAGCCTACTTTGATGGTGCATTGATGAAGAAAATTGTAACTAAGACAAAATTTTGTTGTAAATACAAAAGAAACGGCGACATTCACGCTTTTCACGAATTTAAACGTCTTCGGGCAGAAATCATAAGAACCATTAGAAGAGCTTATAAAAAATTAATTCAGAAAACTGAGAGTGACATTATCCATAGCCCCAATAAGTTTTGGTCATTCATCAACAAGTCAAAATATACGAATGGAATCGGAAATGTTACATGAAGGCAAGCTACTTGATAATCCCTCAGATATTCTTGATAGTTTTGCAGATTTCTTTAGTGTTTCTTATATAGTGTCGACACCAAGTGACCTAGCGAACAACAGTAGTGATATTCCCAGCTTAGTAATCAAAAACTTTAGTATTGAAGATGTTTATCATACCCTAAAAAAATTAAAGTCTAATTTCACTGCGGGACCATATTCCAGAATTCAGATTGTATCTCAGCTCTGGTTGAATCATTAACAACTCTAATTGATATATGCATGTACCATCAATATGGAAAATGTCGAAAGTCTGTCCAATTTTCTAAAAAGGAGATAAAAGTGAGATAAAAAATTACAGACCAATTTCATATGCAACTTTTGTAAAGTGTTTGAGATGGTTCTTGAGAAAACAATATATTGTCATGACACCAATATTATTAGCTCCAATCGACACGGTTTCATGAAATGACATTCAACCACCACCAATTTTGTAACAATTACTCAATGTATTGCATTGTCAGTCTCAGACTGATGTCATCTACACTGATTTTTCTAAAGCGTTCGACAGACTTGACCATAGTATCCTGCTCAACAAACTTTCGACTTTTGGGTTATCCAATGAATTAATTACCTTCTTCAAATCGTATTTTTACAACCGTAAGCAATAAGTCAACATATCCAAATGTAATGTAATGTCTTACTCACTGAAAACGAACTTGAATTTACACAACTTACTGATCTAGGTGTTAGTTTTGATTCATTCTTCTCTTTCAATAAACATTTTGACACTTCTCTAACAGCAGCTTATTGCATGTATGGATTCTCAGACTTCGAAAAAGCTTCAACATTGAAATTATTTCATTTCACTTTCGTTCGATTTAGGCTGGAATATGCATCTGTCGTGTACAGTTTCTATCAGGTTCATATAAATCAACTAGAAGCCCTATAAAGGCTCTTCCTAAAATACATGTCTTTCAAACTTAAAGGAAGAACTTCTGTAGGAATGCCCTATTATGAACGGCTTGTAACTCACAATTTTTGTAGTCTCGAGGTAAGGCGTAAATATTATTCCTTTCCTTTTTATCAAAGGTCATAAACAATATCATCGCCTGCTCTCAACTGTTACATATGTTGAAATTTTGGGTTCCTAGACGGTCATCTAGGAATAGTGTCACATTTTATCTCAACACTCCGCGTACAAATATAATGAAATAATCTCCAATTTATACAATGTGCGATACCTCTGATTTTGTTAGTCTTGTCCTAGATATATTCAACTGCCAGATTATACAAATCAAAAGACATTTCTTTGCTAACTGACAGTTCTGTTTTTAACTTTTTTTAAATAGATTCACAAATTATATTATGTAAGTACATATTTGTGAATGCCACTGTTACTCCCTATTCTGTAATTGGGTTCATCCTGTAGAATAATGTATGAAATGAATAAATGAATAATCTCATCATCATCCGATATTTCTGTTATTTGTGAAGCTGAAAAAATTAAAAACAGGCGGTCTGAACGATGTCAGATTACTCCTCAGAAATCATCTTTAAAATCGTAACATTGTAGTTTCTATGGAATTATCACAAATATATTTTTTTAAAGAGCAACCTCAACAATTGTATTGTCACGTTTTCCCCGTGGGTTGACCAATAATTGACTACACTGGATAATCAACTCAACTGAAATTTCACTTGAAATACAACAAACACTTCAAGTGAAACTTCAACTATTATTTGAATGTCTATCGCCTTACTCAGTCACTTCGCGTACCGCACTGCAACGTCAATTCGACTATGTAGATATCCTCGTGGCTAGCCTTCAAATATCGTAATCGAATGCCATAGAAATTTCGCCAAAGTTTCGTCGAAATCGGATGCGTTATTCTCGCTGATTCTAGAGTGGCGGGGAATCATCGTACATTCGCGCGCTCTTAGCTACGTCACGATTCGTTTATGGTTACCAGTGGCGGCCGGCTTTATTTTCGTTCGGGCATTATTTACAAGAATATCTTTTCTTGAATGTCCCTGTTACTGTATATATAGAAAAACAATATTACGAGATATATAAAAAAGTCATTTACTATAAATAATATGTTCTGTGCTTAACATAATCCCACACAAATGTCGAAGTGAGTTACTGAAGACACGCCGAAACGAGCCATTTTATGGCAAAACACATGTTGCGTTTTTGTGAAAGTCTTCAGTTGAAATCTCACCATGAAGTGTTTTTTGAATACGTTATGGATTTTCATCAAGTATCGGCCAATTTCCATCATATAAATGAAAAAATCATATCAAGTGGTGTTGATCTATGAAATGACAAACATTGAATGAAACTTTGAGGTACCAAAGCATTACAGTTTCTACCTTGATGGAAGTAAGTTTGTTATGGTAAATTGTAGAATTAAATTATGTGGTGTTGCTCTCTAAAACGAAAAACATCAAATAAAACTTTGAAATGATGTTATATGGAAGAACATAATATAATTAATAATCGAGTGACGAAGTGTATACTTTTTTATGTCAGCAACTATTTTTTCAATTTGGATGTGAAACAAACCATTTTTCAAAGTTTCCTCATTGAAAGTGGTAAACTATTGTATTGAATGATTACCGATATTCTGTACCTACATATATTGAATAGATGGATATATAGAAAAAGTGTTGATTAAAATAAATTATAATTCGGTTTAACAAATTTGTCATTTGCCATCGTAATTAGATTGAACGGATGTCTATTTGAACTGGAGACATATAAGGCCGGACACACTTGAAAGTTGAATTTTTGGTGTGATCAATAAATGAAAAGAAATGGAAATATGCCCTATGATTAACTCATTTATTCAAGGATATCAAGCTCTAATTATCTTCTAGAAATCAACGATGAAATAAAACTTCTTCACTACTTCATTGCTAGGTCTACGGCCTTGCAGTAATCAATTTACTACAAATGAAAAAATTACACGAGAGGAGCACCGTGTTCAGTATTGCCAAGTCTACTATTTTTGCAGTAGACACTGTTTTTGTTAGGTCCACTGCTTTGCAGTAGTCGATCTACTGCAGATGAAGAAATCGTACGAGAGGAGTACCGTGTTCAGTACTGTCAGGTGCACTGTTTTTGCAGTAGACACTGTTTTTGCTAGGTCTACTTCTCTGCAGTAGTCGATTTACTGCAGATGAAGAGATCGTGCAAGAGGTGCTCAGTGTCCAGTATTGCCAGGTCTACTGTTTTTGCAGTAAACACTATTTTTGCTAGGTCTACTGTTTTGCAGTAGTTGATCAACTGCAGATGACGAAATCGTACGAGAGGAGCACCGTGTTCAGTACTGCCAGGTCTATCGTTTTCAGTAGACACTGTTTTTGCTAGGTCTACTGCTTTACAGTAGTTGATCTACTGCATATGAATGAATCGTACGAGAGGAGTACTGTGTTCAGTACTGCCAGGTCTATTGTTTTTACAGTACACACTATTTTTGCTAGTTCTACTGCAGATGAAGAATCGTACGAGAAGAGCACCGTGTTCAGTACTGTCAGGTCTATCGTTTTCAGTTGACACTGTTTTTGCTAGGTCTACTGCTTTGCAGTAGTTGATCTACTGCATATGAAGGAATCGTACGAGAGGAGTACTGTGTTCAGTACCGCCAGTTCTATTATTTTTACAGTACACACTGTTTTTGCTAGGTCTACTGCAGATGAAGAATCGTACGAGAAGAGTACCGTGTTCAGTACTGTTAGGTCTAATTTTTTTGCAGTAGACACTCTTTTTGCTAGGTCTACTGCTTTGCAGCAGTTGATCAACTGCAGATGACGGAATCGTACGAGAGGAGTACTGTGTTCAATACTGTCAGGTCTACTGTTTTTGCAGTAGACACTTTTTTTGCTAGGTCTACTGTTTTGCAGTAGTCGATCTACTGCAGATAAAGAAGTCGTACGAGAGGAGCACCGTGTTCAGTACTGCCAGGTCTATCGTTTTCAGTAGATACTGTTTTTGCCAGGTCTACTGCTTTGCAGTAGTTGATCTACTGCATATGAATGAATCGTACGAGAGGAATACTGTGTTCAGTACTGCCAGGTCTATTGTTTTTACAGTACACACTATTTTTGCTAGGTCTACTGCTTTGTACAAGTCGATCTACTGCAAATGAAAGAATCGTACGAGAGGAGTACCGTGTTCAGTACTGTCAGGTCTAATGTTTTTGTGGTAGACACTTTTTTTGCTAGATCTACTGCTTTGCAGTAGTGGATCTACTGCAGATGAAGAAATCGTACGAGAGGAGCACCGTGTTCAGTACTGCCCGGACTACTATTTTTGCAGTAGACACTGTTTTTGTCGGGTCTACTGCTTTGCAGTAGTCGATCTACTGCAGATGAAGAAATCGCACGAGAAAAGCGCCATAGATTACGAATCAGAAAGAAAAAATCAGGGCTCTCCCTTATATGTTATAGAAAATATGTTGATTATTGAATCAAAAGTTTTCAAAGAAGGTGAAATAAGAGTTGAAGGTGGTGTGGTGGAGAAATACTTGTGACTTCATAGTTTGTATTTTGCAAAAAAAATGCAATTTTCAGAACTTAGGATGGCTGTAACTATCTAAATACGTGAGTACATCAATTTTTTTCAAAACCAGCAAATTTAGCGTATCCGAAATTTTACCCCCAGCACACATTTATTACCAAAACGGTAAGAAGTTTGCTACATCAGCTAGTAATATATAAAATACTACTGATGAAAATGAAAAAATGAATAACTTTGGGAAATATATAATTCATTGTTTCTTGCTGTTTTTCTGGGATTTTCAACCACCCACAATCTGAAAATTCGATAAAGCTGAATCAACAAAAAATCCACCAAAGTATAATGAAGGACAAACTGTGAAAGAAACAAGAGCCCAGAAAAGACAGCAAGAAATATCCTGTCTGCTATAAAAATGTTTTCCTAAAAATATCTAATTCGCTGAAGCTGTTTCATCTCACCATATGTTTCCCGCAGGAAGTTCCAGAAGCAGCAGGCCTCAACAGAGTAGTGCAGGAATTGTTGACAGAACACCAAATATGCAGGCAAATTTCTTCCAACGGAGCACAAGGAGTAGCTTTGGTCCCGAACTGAAGCCGACATTGATGGTTGGCATCGTACATGACACCTGGTGGCAAATCCGGATACTTGTAGTCCTCCAAATCCTGTGGTCGATCCTGTAGACATTTTCCTAAACCTTTGCTACAAAACATATTTTTCGATTATTCATAAAAAGTTGCAGGATGGAGAAAGCGCAGGGAATTAGAATGGGGCATATTTTGACAAGATACCATAGGGTTAAACATGGAATCAATGAATGATTCGTTCATTCATGTTCATTAATTTTGAGACGATTTGATATTCAGGTGGATAATTCATGGTATTTATTGAAAAATATATTCAATTATAAACTTGGGTAATCATTTATTCAGTGAATTTTGTGGTATGTATGATTCTAAGACTAAAATATCGCAGATGGAAAACATTATGTAATATTTCTTCCGTTACTTGGTGTTCTACAAAGATCCGAGAGTATCGAACAAAAATGATTTTTGTGAAAGGAATCCGAAAAAAATGAGACTTTTTGGAACTGAACGTTCTGAAGATGATTACGTTTGGAAATATAAGTGGAATGTATGGAGAAATTCACATTTTGTTCAATGTAACTCATCCAGACCGTCTTTCACTATTGCAACTTGGTAACTCAGTTCGTTTCGGGGTCTCTTAAGATGTCAGTGTGTCAAAACATACAGTTTCCAGATTTTTTCATGAGCATATATTTTACATACAAGTGCCATTGGTACAAAATTGCCTGATGATGATTTTGATCGTTGAGTGCAATTTTGTAAGACAATGGTGCAACTCTCCAATATAAATCCTTGTTTGATCAAGAACATTGCCTTTTATGATGTGGCAACATTTCAGTTCGATTATGGTACTATCAGTGATCTGTTCGCATTAAAATTTATAAACATGAGATTGCGAGATAAAAAAGAAAGAACTTTCTGATAGGACTGTTTTTCCATACTTACTCCAAAAACCTGGTGATTTCTCTCCGACTGCATTTGGACCAGTTGACATTTACAGAATCTGCTTCAAAATTTGGAGTCATTATGTGAATAGTGTTGCCGTCTTTTCGTTTGCATCCTGCTTTGTCAGTGTCATGAATCATACCAAAACTGAAAATAATAGTTTATTAGGTATTATAAAACGTGTCGCTATGATACTCAATTTTTTTAAATAAGAAATTGAACAATCTGGAAAAAAAATTGTTATGGTGAGCGTCATACATGTGTATAGAAATTATTTTTAACAAAAGAGAATGTACTATGCTATTATTAGTGTTCCAAAATGCAATACGTATGTATCCAGACGTCTCAAAAACCAAAAAAAGGCTCAGGATGTGGAGATTGATCCAGATCACTAAGCCTAAGGATTAAATGGGGAATGGGAAAAATACCAGCGGGTATCTCAATTGCTACAAAAGAAATAACCAGGAAAGGAATTTCTGGCAAATCATAACAATCTGCACTGATAGTAGACAAGCCCTATCAGCCCTGAACAGAAAACGTGTTACCTCAGGGTTAGTACTAGAGTGCCACCAAAATTTAGCCAAAGCCCCAGCAGATAATAACATTATCCTGAGGGGGGTTGAGGGCACGACAGGAGTGAAGGTTCTCCCATTGCCGACTATTTAGCCAAGGAAGCGGCTGGACTAAGAATTTTAGGACTCAGTGACACCTACGGCCTGATGACTTCGACCTCGGCAGAAGTCAAACGTCACACCCATGCTCAATCCCTAAAGAAGTGGGATTGAATCAAAGGATGCAGTCTTGCCCGGATCACCCTGGGCGACCCTGTGAAGTTGGCGCTGAAGAAATATCTAGCGATGACCAGGAAAAACCTACGCTTAACAGTAGGATTACTGACTGACCACTGTCAACTAAAGGAACACCAATGGTGTTGCCAACTGGACGAACTATAAAGTCGCTACACATGAACCAACATTCCGCTACACTATTTCATATTCCGCTACGCTTGTATATCTGACGAAATGAGTTCGCGCATGCGCCCTATCCGAAATTAAATACCACAGAACTTACAGTTTGTGTAGCGTTTAGATACCACAAAACTGAACTGTCACCAATGTCAGGAATCAGGATCATGCTAATTTTCAACCGCGCAACTCAGTAGATGTTACCTAATTTTCTAAATTTACAGCAGTTGAGTTTTAAAAGTTGTCGTCTCCACCAAATATTTCTTAGCTTGTAATAATGATTCTGAAAAGTAAAAAGAAATATCAATTTGTTCACGTACGTATAGTCATACTGAGCTCTTGAACAATCATTCGCGACAGGTCTACTCCATCCTTTCGAGTTGGAATCAGACAATCGATGTTGAGAAAAAGTAATGTCCCGTTCCCGTCAATTTCAACTGCGGCAGCTCTTTCGCTCGAGCTACAATCAGATGAACTATCTTCCATTTCCACTGAAATTTGTTCCACAGTCGAGACTTTCGGTTCCAAGATATTGGAGATTATATAGTTTATGATAGTAATGAAAATATCAAAAATTATTCTTCTTCTCTTTCATCATGTAATTGCTTCGGTTACTAAGACTAAAATGTATTGACTGTGCATTCAATTATTCAATTGTCAGCTGTCAGCTTCGAGTGCTGTGCACTGCCTATTCTTCTTCTTCCATATTTTTTTCAATATTGATTTTTTTGTAGAAAATTCCGCTACTTTATGTTCAAATCCGCTACGCCGCTACCATCGAGTAAATTGTGCCACGGTAGCAGAATTCCGCTATGGTTGGCAACTCTGAAACACCTCCATAATATGGGGCTAGTGGACACACCTCTATGCAGGATGTGTGAACAGGAAGATGAGACTGTCAGGCATGTCCTATGCGAATGTCCGGAGTTATCGTCAATGAGAGTGTGTGTTCGGCGAGTCTTGGCCTACACCTCCCGATATAAAGGAGATATCTTCCAGTGACCTGTGCACCTTCCTGGAAAGGACAGGATGGACGATGACCCAGGAGGACAACTTCTCGGGAGAATGTACAATGGGTTACATGTGGCCTAAGTGCTGTGGGCCTACACTCACCCTTATTTTCAGATATTGATAGTGTTCCAAAAATGAGTGATTTAAGTACCTTCATATTGAAAATTTCATAAACGTAACCTTATGATTTGATCTTTAGGAACTTTATATTGAAAAATACCACGACCTGTTTCGCTATCATAGTAGCTTTTTTATAGTAAATAACATACTAAAAGTTAATTATTTACTCCAATTTTTATATACCTCACGTTATCAACCATAGAGAACTACCTATCCAGGTACTTACTCAAAAAAAAATTACCTAGAGCATCTACTCGATTAGGTACATCCTCAATTATTATTACCTAGGGCATATTGTGCCACTTCTATATCAATCATAATATGTCTATGAAGACTAGAAAAACATCGATTTCTATTTAAATTCAGTTGGTCATTCAGTAGAATGCTTGATTTTTATTTTATTTAGAAGCTATGGAAATTAATAAAAAATTCAAACATTTTACTGAATGACCAACTAGATTTAAATAGATCACCATTATCGAACTTGGTAACAACCATGCTTTTTCCTTCAAGCATTTTTTCAATAATGAATATTACTGGAGTTTTTTCCCAACACCAAACCGTTATTTTAACACCGTTTTAAGAGGATCACAAAGTGATCATCTTCAAGAGGATCACTTCACAAAGTGATCATCTTCAAGATGAAAATATTTCTCTTCACCAAGTGATTGAAACACGTGTCGAGGTGTTGAAATAACGGTTTGGTGTTGTGAAAAAACTCCAGTAATATTCATTACTACACCAAAGGTTCCAAACAGTACATCATAAGTACATTCTTTAAATGTTTTGAGTGATTTTATTTCAATTCTGTTATTATATAATTATTGTATATGTTGTTCACGTTAAGAAGAGAATGACGTCACAAGATGACGAGTTACGGCGTTGCCAACATGTGCACTATTTCGTACTTTCATATATTTTTGTACTGTTGATATGTTTTATTGCTATTATCCTTACCTACTTTTCGTATTTGTTGAGACTATTTCGACAATGCTTCAGACATAATGAATATACGCAGGTCTTATCAAAAGAAATGATTGGATCAGAAAAGAAAAGGAAGACTTCCAAAAAAAAGTAATCCAGAAAGCTTCAAAGATTTGCGTCCAATTAGCATTCTGCCAGCTGTTTCTAAGTTATTTGAAAGAGTGATTTACAAATCCTTCGGAGGATTCAAGGGCATCTGCCATTTGCAGAACGTCTTCAAGGTCAGATCCGCGTTGACAGTGATGTTGAGAAATGGTTCGGATGAAGGGTCTTCTATCAGGATTATCTTCACGACTACTATGTTGACGCTGTTGCCTAAGCTTGGATCTTGAAAGAGCATGGATACCTGTAAACAAGACAAATCTATTAGAAACACAAGTTAGCATCATCAGGAGTTGATTAGAACTATTATAACAGTTTTAGTCATCTCCTGATAATGCTAACATTCTGAGCAAAGTGCGCGCCGTAATATAGCATTTTTGTTCTATTTTGGTCATCTACTGGTAACAATTCTAGTCATCTACTAATGATGCTGACTTTGATAGCAAAATTCGCGTCGAAAGACATCATTTTTGTTCTGTTTTCAATAGATTTATTTTACTCCAGCGGTACCAAATTCGAGTTATTGAAATAACTGGAACTAATTGTGAATGAGAGAAAATATTTCATAGGGTGCGAAGACGCGAAAGGAAAACACAAAAATTTAATAAACATTGCACATTTTATGAAGCACGCTACCTTATACCTGAGTAACTTCGTTATAAACCATTTGAACAGGACTACAACAATTTGAAATATTTTCCCAAATTGATTCCAACTTTCTGTGGATATACAATTGATACAGCCAAATAAATAGAAGCTTATATGTTGTAAACGGATAATCTCAAGATCTACCACTGCTGTTTACAGTTATGATCTTTCGTAGTTTAACAACTGGTTTCTTTACTATCAGAATCTCCATCTTCCTCTTCATCAACTTTCTCCTCCTCATTTCTTCAAACTCATTTTCGTACTTGCAGCCTTCACCAGTGAATAAAAGCACAGCTCTGGGTATGACCCTTTTTCGGATGTAGTGACCGATTTCAAAGTCAGTAGTCAGTGTATTTCATCGAAATCATCTTCTTTAGTATCCTCGGGAATAGCAAAAGGGCTGAAGAAATTGAAGAATGAGTCATTCTGACCAGTCTTTGTAATAGTGCGAATAACGTCACGGCTCTTATGTTTTTGCTTTTTCTTGACTGTTTTCAAGGTAACGTTTTTGCTATAGTTTCAGTTAATAACGCATCCTGTGCATTTGTAGATCTCAGGACCTTCAAAGCTGAAGGGATCTTTCTCTTCTGGAGAACATTTCATTTCGTATTCTTTTGTGAGTACAAGATTGGTGAAATACTCATTTGGCAAAAAGTGGAATTCAAGAATGAAACTCATTGGATCTTCCTTGCAAGTAGTCTTGATATCAGTTAAGTGTTTCAGAATGAGAACATCATGTGGTTAAACCATTTCAGATAGTAAGTTGACATTTCTAAAAATAATCAACCAAAATTCCGGAATCCCTTTCACGTCTTTGTCTTCCTTCATGAAATCTTCTATGGTGAGTTTATCTTTTAAAGCATCAGGAATATCTTCCTTTTCTTTGGTATTTTCGCCAATTTCTTCTTCGTTATCGGAAGGTCATAGAGATTTATCGTCGGTTGGTTCATATAAACCGTTAACGATACTATTTTTCTTCTCATAAAGAGGAAAATAGAGCCTGTAATATTTGTATTCCAATTCGTGCACTTCTTTGAAAACTTTGATTCGATATTCGTAGCTTCTAACTGAATTTTTTTGAGAGCTTTAACTCTCCTTTTCTCATAATCCGGTAACAGAGCCTGCATTTCGGCATGTCGCTGACTCTGTATAGCGGCCAGAACGTTTGGAAAATCTAGGATTCTGACGATGTTTTGTCCAGTCTCTTCCTCTTCGACTGATTCAATTTCGTCATCACAATCTCCGGGTTTTTCGTATTCAGTTGCCATTTTGCTCTTTCGATTTACAATTAATGCAGATGCCAGCGAACAA